GTCCGAAGAGATATGTACCAGACTGTACATGAGCTAATTGCCATTGGACAATAATGTCCAAAGAGATATGTACCAGACTGTACATGAGCTAATTGCCATTGAGTAATATGTACCAGATCATTGGACAATAATGATCATCTCGTGTATGCAAAACTTTAGATCTAAAGTGCCCTAATAAGTTCCCCCCAATCTAAACTTAATTCTGGCTACAAACACATTTTCAGTTTTTGAATACCAATAACTCAATACCAGATGGAAATCCCCATTATTTATGCCAACTGGGAATAGAAACCATACTTTCTAAGCCAACTGCAATTTCTCTCTGCATTATATTAGCACATTTATGTATTTAAATAATACAAAACTTCCTGAACCATGTGTACTTTCAATATTTAAAACTTGTGATGGGCATCCAGTAAAAATGAAAACTTTGATTTAAGGATATGCATCAAATTTATTAGTGCCAAAATGTTTATAACAAATTACAGTCTGAGTAAAGTGGTCATTGTGGGATATGTGTTTACGCTGAATACATTTGCTTTGTTTTATATAGGTTTGGAGGTCTGACTACTGAAAAGAACCTTAAAATGAGAAATCCCATTCATTTAGAATAATACTATCCAGAATGTGTGACCTATTGCCCTAACCAATGGTGCAAACAACCAAGTAGGAAAACATTCCCAGTGTGATTGTGTATTACATTGAGAAACCCAGCCATCCAATTACAAATTTGCTGTTTAACAAAAAGTAATATCATTATAAGTTAACCTATCCCATTCTGTGAAACAACAATATCACAAGGAGATTACATTATCAAGGTGAGCCCACTATGTGTTTACTATGAATACATTTGCTTTGTTTTATATAGAGTAGGTTTGGAGGACTACTGAAAAGACCCTTCCAATAGAAAATCACATTCATTTAGAATAGTACTTGCCAGACTGTGTGCCTATTACCATGACCCTCAGGTGTCAAACACAAGGCCCATGGGCTGAATCTGGCCCTCCAGGCCATTTCATGTGGCCCTTGTACCTCTCTTGTAGGTACTCCCTTGTCTCCACCCCCACCTTGTCTCAGCAGTTGGCAGCAGAGAGGAGAATAGAACTTCTCTGCCAAATCCTGCACCTCTCAGTGCAGCTGCAGCACCCCCTCATCTCTGCCTCCCTTGGTCTCAGTATTCAGCAGACTCTGGTAACTGACTCCACTCCTCCTCTGGTCCTCCTCCAGACCCTGGACTTTCTGCATTCCAGCTCTGCCCCCAAAGGGGGTGCACGGTGATGTTAGCGAGGCTGTGCAATTCTTGACATCTGGTCTAAGGTGGGAGCAGTGTTTTGGACATCTAGTCTTACAGATACAAATGGCCCTTTGGGGGCAACCATAATGCTGATATGGCCCACAATGAAATGGAGTTTGACACCCCTGCCCTAACCCATGGTGCCGAATTTTGGCCTGTATGTACAGCTTCTTGTCTGACAGAAGTCAGGCTCATAATTGACTTTGGTCAAACCGACATGACAGAAAACCAGCATCCGACTGGCATCCAGTGCTGATAAGTATGTCCTGGCAGGGGAGCGGTCCCCCTTGTCTGAACACAATAGCTCAGCAGGGAGATTGCTGCACTAACATCGGATCTATTAGTATGCTGATTTGTAATTTTTTTTTTTCGTTCACCCTGCTGGGTTGAACACAGAAAAAAAATAAACTACCTGTGTGTGCCCAGCTTTAGCCTAGGCACTGTCATTAACTGAAGCTCAGTTACTGCCCTATAATGATGTAAGATAGAGCTTTTTTGAGTTTTACACCCATCTTTTTTGAGTTTTACACCCAAGCTGAACTCTAGGCACATAAAAATATAATAAAAGTAATTCATGTTATTAAATGCATACATTTGACTTGATTTCAGCATCTTGTAATCCACTTTATAGCACCACCCAGATGGGATAGGGAGCGGCAGCACTAGTTGCCAGTCAGTTGTGATACATGCACATTTGCTGACAAGGAACATGCATACAAGAGACGAGCTCAAGTTTTTTTTTTTCTGCTCCTTCACTGACCTGGGGCAGGGAGGTGACCTGTGTTTTTTAACAGTAGTAGATAACATTGAGGTCACCAACCCAGCTCTGCTTTCTGGCAGGGCTGTGTAAATCTCAGGACAGACCAGACAAAATCAAAAATACTTTTATTTATTTCAGTTGTGTATTTAGCGGTTTGCCTGGAATTCAACTTTAACAATTCTAATGCTTTTTCCAAGCAATGAATAGTAGAACTTTGAAGTTTAGGCTTCATTTATTAAAAGCTTACAGTAATCCACAGTGGCTAAATGGTTAGTACTTCTGCTGGGCAGTACTAGGGTCATTGGTTCGAATCACAACCACAACACCACTTGCCTGGAGTTTGCACATTTTCCCTGCGCCTGTGTGGGTTTCCTCCAGGTACTCCAGTTTCCTCCCACACTCCAAAGACATGCTGGTAGGTTAATTGGATCCTGTCTAAATTGGCCTTAGTATGTGTATGTATGAATGTAGATTAAGAACTTTAGATTGGACTCCCCTTGAGGGTTAGGGACTGATGTGAATGCGCAATATATATATATATGTAAAGTGCTGCGTAAATTTATGGTGCTATAGAAGTACTTGTTATAATAATAATAATCCCAGGCAAGTGGCTAATAACACAAGTACTTTGCATAGATGGTAATGTTTTACTCATCAAAGGATCTGTAATTCTGTGCAGCCAGTCTTGTAATGCAGCACCCCTACCAAACAGCAAAGCCAGGTCCTTCAGCCCCACTGCAGTGTCTGCCCAAAATTTGTGATTTTCTTTTACTTTCAATAATGGTAAATAGGACAAATAGAGAGGGTGAATCTCCAAAAGGGGGGCACAGACAGGGGAAAAAACTGCCAGGTGTTCTAATCCATCTCCACTCTATCCAAAACTAAAAGAAAAGTTTTGACTTTAGCTGTACTTTAAAACACTGGTTCACAAATAGCATTCAGTGATGGTCTATGGCAGAAGTAGCCACATGCTAACCCAATGCAAACTACTTTCAGTTGTCAGTAAGTATGCATATACCTTTATTATGTACACATTTTTTTTCTTTCAAAGTTTATGTGAATAATACTATAAAGGACATATATAGGTAATTTAGTTTATTGTTGTTTATAAGTACAAATGACTTTCTTTTGGAAATAGTCTTCTGTCCCTTTTTATAATAACTACAAATATAAAAATACAAGGCAATAAAGCAACAAAAATGTGCACATCTTCATATAAACAAACGATCAAAAGTGTTGTACAAAATTATTTACATTTGTAATCTATTTACACATTCTAAAAGTACATTTGAAGGAGTACAATAATGTTAAGTTATCAAAAAGGTAGCTAAAATACAGTAGCAATCTTACAAAAACACCAATTTTAACCACAAAATAAATAGACAATAAAATACAGCATTTTATAGAACAAACAAGACCCTTTCTGTGTATTGTGTTTTTGTCTTTACCATTCTTGGTTAATTCAAGCTTTTTTTGCTGCATCAAACCTTCATCAAATCTATTTTCGGTTACTCCATTATGTAAGGTACTGCAATTATACAAGAGTAAATTGCATAGTAACTTTAAAAAAAAATTACCGTGTCCGATAACATAGGTTGCATAAACATTTCAAAACAAACGATCACTTCCATGATTCTGAACATTAGCTTTTTACCATATTTAATGATAACCTATTTGTTAGTTCTGATGATAAGGATAATCCTGTAAAAGATAACAGATCAAGTGCAAAAATGTTGTGTAAAATTCACAGGAAGAATGTCACTGCCAACACAAAAATTCAGGAGGGACAGATGTAATTGTAAGGCTTATGTTGGTAGTTCTCAATGCTGTTTGTTATCCATAAAACATATTTGGTAGTGATATAATTGCATAGATGTGGCCGGTAGTGATATGACACCTGCAGAAGATGTAGCGATGTCACAGGTGAAATTATTGGCACTGTGGTTCCACGCTGTTAATAATCTAAACAGCTTAGCTCCTATCAGGAATCACAGCAAACATTCAGAGGGTACAGTGTTCTAATATGGATCAGATCAGTGTTTGTAGTGGCATGACACACAGAAGCCTACAATGTATCAGGCGAGCTTATCAAACTATGTTTATATAATTAGCTAAATGCTTGTGTAGTGAACTCCACGTTGTACTTTTACATAAATAGAACAATTGCTTCCAAAAGATCAGTGCTTTTTTTGTTTTTTTGTTTTTAAAGCTAATGAAATATATTTGGGTAGTTAGCTCTAAAAGGCCTCACTTAACTACATTTAAAGCAATATTAAACATATGGAGAGCCACGTTTAGGATAAATTTAGATACTAATGAGATTAAGAACAATAATAAAGTGTATAGTGACACTGAAGTTTAAAAAAAAACAAAAAAACAAATACACATATAAAAAGATGTACTTGCATGCTCAAGTATTAATGTATATTTCTGAGATATATATATATATATATATATATATATATATATATATATATATATATATATATAGGCTTGTCCTTTGCGTGCAGTCATCCGTGACCTCATTTCATTTACTAAACACTGTAACAGTAAAGACAGTGCTTTGGTCAAAACATCACTAAACAACCTTAAAAACCCTTGTGTGTTGAGATGTAAATAAGCTGTATTGAGATGAAACCTGCCAGCTACTGTATACTGCAAAAGAAAAGAAAACAGAACGGTTGTAGCAAACATTCTCTGACTGGTTGATCACTTTGTATTTTAATACAGAGTTATAAATAAAGAGGAAAAAAAAAATCATGTTCTATTATGTTCCAGTTCCTCTTCCCACCCCACCCTCCTGCAAGTCCATATCACAACAGGGATAATAGGTTTGTATGCAGCAACGACCCTAACGGTGAGTTACTACAGTCTGCATAGTGTTTCAGCAATGAGGCAGTGGGGAGAAGATTGCATAGCGAAGAAGAGCCCTGGACAGGATCCACTCTAGTTCTGATGTCTCTTCATGTGTAGGGCTAAGTGATCAGAGCGGGAGAAGCTTCGGTTGCAAACTGCGCACTGAAAGGGCTTAGCTCCTGTGTGTTTTCTGTAATGACGAGTCAGTTCATCAGAACGGGCGAATCTCCAGTCACAGCCTTCCCACGTACACTTGTATGGCTTCTCTCCTGCAAACACAAATAGAAGACTTATGAATACAGAAGTTTCATACTATAAAAAAATATTGTGAAGGTCTATGATACATACATAAAGATTAAAAAGGGATAAGGTTTACTTTTCCTACAGTGACTCATAGTCAGCCTGTATGGGCAGTGCGCCAACAGCAGATAAAGCTGTCCGAGCAGATGCAGATCTCTACAGCTATTATAAGTTCTAAAAAGACATTCATGGGAAAACACTTTAATCTTTTAAAACTTCTTTATTGCTCTTTGTGTCGAGTTAAAAAAAAATGGCTGCCTACTTTTAGGGCCAGTTCACACATGCGTTTCAGTTTCAAAACACCAGAAAGTAGGTTATATGGTTGTCGGTGTCATAGTTCACAACAGTGTTTACAGTTCCAGTGTGTTCCAGATGCAGAAAAAAAAAAAAAAAGAACAAGCTGCATTTTTCCTGCACAGAACTGTACTGGAATGCGGTAAAATGCATCAAAAACGCACTGGAACGCACATGTCCTTATTTCAATTGAAGAAAAAGGGAGGGGAAAAAATGAACTGGAACGCATCAAAAACGCACCAGCAGAAACATCTGGAACGCATCTGGACTGTGTTTCTATAGTGTGAACCAGCCCTTAGAGCTCATGCACAAGGATGTAAATACATAGGTTCCTGAATGCAAAAATTCCATACAGAATTACACAACAGCTGGGGCTCCAGGGTGCCGTAAATTCAGGTGTATTGTATGCTGTATGCCCATACACCTTTTTATGTCCATATGCATGACCCTTATAATGGAATTCTACAAAACTAGAGGAACCCAAAAGGGAAGGTGTGGCTCACAGTGACCAGTTAGATCTGAGATTTCATTTTTCTATTATAGCTTACAGTTATTTTAGACCAGGGGTCTCCAAACTGCCTGCCTTTATCTGGCCCTGTGGGCACTATTCCTTCTCCTGATATGAGGCACAATTCCTCTCACCAGGGGCGGACTGACAACTCATGGGGCCCCCAGGCAATAGGGGATCATGGGGCCCCTGTGTCCTTACCCAAACTCAAAAAAAGCCTATGAAAAAAGGTACCAGGGGCATCTCATGGGGCCCCCTACTGACCCCAGGCCCTCGGGCAGTGCCAGAGTTTCCAAATGGTCAGTCCGCCCCTGCCTCTCACTGACACTAAACATGAGGCACTATTCCTCCTACTGACACCAATGATGGGCACTATTCCTACCACTGATACCAATGATGGGGCACTATTCCTCCCACTGACACCAATGATGGGGCACTATTCCTCCCACTGACACCAACGATGGGGCACTATTCCTCCCACTGACACCAATGATGGGGCACTATTCCTCCCACTGACACCAATGATGGGGCACTATTCCTCCCACTGACACCAATGATGGGGCACTATTCCTCCCATTGACACTAATGAAGGGAACTAATTTTCTAACCGACATCAAATATGGGGCACCATGCCTCCCACTGACACCAATCATGTATATTCTTTACTCCCACCGATGCCAGGGCATTTTCTACTCCCACTGGCCAGTCGCCCCCCCCCCCCCCCCCCCCCCCCCCCCCAATATTTGAAGGACAGTAAACTGGTCCTTTGTTTAGAAAGTTTATAGACCCCTGCGCTAGACTAAAAATCACATTTGGAAAACCAAACTGCTGTAACTGGATAGATTTCACCTTTCAAATTTCCTGACATTAACGTCATGCTATAGGTAGGTTGTATATAGCCGTTCTAAAAAAGTACAAAACTTTCCAACCACCGCCTGCATAATCACACGGAAGCAGAGGATATTATTAATGATTTAAGTATTATTTTGGGTAGTTTAACAGGCATTTTACAAGAATTGTGCTCATGTATCAAGCTTCAGGCATTTGTTCCCTAGGTTGGAAAGAGAGCAATTTTAGAGAATAGTCATTTTCAAGTGCTAAAACATGCATATCATGTGTTTAGAGGCACACCCATTGAAGTCAATGGGGGCAAAAACAGCTGAATACATAAAAAAAAAAAAAAAAAAAAAAAAAAAAATTATAAAGAATAGGATCCTGCCTGCTGAGCGTTTTTCAGGTACAGGGAAACAAAATTAAAAGTGTGAATGGGGACTAAAGCACATGCATTTTCCTTTCCTGTTTTCGTAGTTTCCCCCCTCTCCTTTCAGATGCGGTTGCCCCAAAATACAGTTTCATAAAAAGAAGCCAATTTTTTTTATTTTCATAATACTTTGACCAAATGGTACAGCTATCTCTAATGACATCTATGATGACTCATGATGCAACCTAGACATAAGAGGCCTTATGGAAACTCTAGAGATAACTCTACATGACTATCAGTGCAGTTATTACATACAGCCATATACTTTAATGAACAATTAACAGAAACATCAAAGGAGTGTGTTAAATTGTATCTAATCCTGGTAATTTTTTTAGCAATATGTTGCCTCCATAATCCTCTGTGAGTGAGGAGTTCATTCTGCTCTGTCATTGGTGAGACATCACAACGAAGTGTCTATTTGTGTCTGCAGAAGACGACTTTAATTATAACGGTTATGACTGAAGTGTTCACACAAGCCTAATTCCATCAGTCAAGACAATGTATGTAGCTGCTATTCCTATGGCCACCAAATGTTTTCCCATTTAGTCATTACTTTTTGGAATGGTGACCCATTTTATATTATTACACATCCAGCAACCTAGAGAGAGAAAATAGACTTGCCAAATGCCAAAAGGAACGTTTATTAATAGAACACTGACTTTATATTTCTATTTTTCCTTTGTAGTTGTTTAACGACAATAACTGCCAAGCAACAGGATCAATTATCAGCATGGTAAAGCACACAGAAGCCATTTACTTTTTGTATCTGAGAGGTCAGTGCTAAAACACATTTGCACGTGGATACAGTATCAGGTTGATTTTGAAAGAATTAACATAGCCATTTGCCCAGTGAAAGTGGATGTACAATTGTTGTACTATGTGAATGGGGCAAAAAAATTAATGTAAATAGGCTATATTTGGACCTGATCAAATGTAAATCATAGGTTTAAAATTGAAAACACCGAACTTTGTCATTAGATGGAGCTAAGTATCATAGGTATTTCCTAGAATACTTTGCTCCATCTAGTAGTCAAAATGTGGTATCTTTAGTTTAAAATCAATTATTTGTATTTACACAGCAGAGTCTATTTACACCCCCCCCTCCCCATTCACACCGAACATGCACTTCTTTCATTGGGTAAATGGCTATGCAAATATTTATTAAATCAACCCATTAAAGATGCATATCAGCATTAAAAAGATGGAAAGATGGTCCCAATGTCTGCTCTATGGGTTTACTATAACTACCTTTTTTTAAATATTTTGTAATTCAGTCATGTGGTTGATAGCCTCGCTGTTCAATATGTGAGCACATATTTTCTGCCAGACACCTTTGCTTAGTGTAACTGTCATGTTTTATTACAAAAACACAATATTATATAATGATTTCAATCCTTGAGGTGAGCTTTATGTTGATGGACAGGGAGGACTTCCGATAGATGCAGGCTACCGGGTATAACAGGAGCAGTCAATCAACAAAAACATCCCCCCCACTATCAATTTACATAAACCCCAACCCAAGCACTAAATTATAATGAATATTGTGTTTTTGTAACCAAACGTAACAATTACAACAGGCAAGTAGTTCTTCCATACCTTTTTTGGTTTATTATTTAAAAGTGATTTATATTTTTGTTTCTTTGTCACCTGACCACCAGAAAAAACAAGGGCAGTACATATTCAGGAATGCGAGTTACAGATTACAGGGGAGGAAGGAGGAGCAGGGAACATCAACCCAATTGATGTAGCTGCCCCACAAAGTGTGAAGGAGTGTCATGTGGGGTAGCTAACTGGGGAGTGGCAACGCAGAAGACCATGGATCAACAGCCAGTAGTGTTGCCACTCAGATGAGGGAGGTACTATGAACTGGCGGGATTACCAAGAAGTTACTATGTAAAAACTTTTTTTTTACAAACCTCTAAACAGTTTGGGGGCCAATGAGTAATAAAATGCATTTTTGGGTTTACCGACAATTTAATGTGTAGTGGTAAATCTGTAGTGCTCCCAAAACTTCCTAATTGAAACTACTTAAAATCTTCAAATAGTCTGGAAGGCGTTTTATAAATGTTACACAGTGATCTTTCTATTCATTATCACATGTCTGTACTATTTGGGCAGAAAATTGGTTATAACTGTAAGCATCACAGGGCACATTACCATATTATGAGTTTTCCAGCAAATAGAAAATGCTGTATCTTGGCTGGGAAAAGCACTACCCAGTTCCCTTTTCACCACAACATTTAGAGCTCAAATGAAATCTTTATTATATGACATCAGTCAATACTGGACAATTCAGCTTTGCTAGAGATAACTGTATCAGGGTAAATGACATCATATACAGCCATAGATCCCTGACCTACAGATAATGCTGACTGCCCTAGAGCAAGCCTGTTATTACTAGTATCCCTTTGGTTTACAACTTGTTATGCCCTGTGGCGCTTAATCTGTTAAGTAAATCTTCATAACACATCATTTGCATTTTCTGTTTACGTGTTAGGCATACTTTCTGCTTTATCTCGCCGACAATTAAAGGATAACTGGATGATTCAGTTGTATAATCCTCTGCGTTTAATTACAGATAGGCAACATTTCCACCTTACATAAGACCTCAATATCATTTATTACTTAAAACACTCTCCATACACTCACTGTAATGTTAGATGATTTAACCCTTTCTGCAAAATATAAATACATACACACTTTATCTACACATATCTATGGGATTTTAGTCTCAATTGCCTGATAGTGGATTTGAAATAGCTTGCATGGCCAGTATGTAACATAACATAGCTGTCCAGGCCATTGGAATCCATCCCTGCTCTTTTCCTGCATGAGGGTCATCAGCTAGTATGATGTTATAGAAAGAGTGGGCTCAGACACAGACCCTCCATTACCCCCTCTTATTT